TGGCCTCAAATTTCAAAAGAAAGATGCAAGCCCGCCCTTTCCTATACTAGCAAACCACCACCATCAACCACTACTTCAAACCCTTCTATCTCATTCGTCACAACTCTATTTCGCATCATTTTTATGTTGTTGGATTCAACTTACGGTTTAGTTTTCGTATCACATCTCATACGTCTTATTCTTCCTCTTTTTGTATGCTATCGGAGCTCTGAAAGTTGATAAAAAAAAAAAATACTTTTTTTCTCATTTTTTGACTTTTCTTCAAGCCATCTTTCGGACTTCATATCTTTTTCGATTCTTGACGCTTCTATTTCATTCTTTCGCCATTCTCTTCATTTTACTTCTTATTTCGCCCTACACTACCTCGTTTTTTCACTTTTTTGTGTAATGGGCGGCTTTGGTATGCCGAAAGTTGTCCGAAAACTAATTTTGAAAATTTCGTCCAGTAGAGATCACCATCTTTTCGTCCATTTTACCTAAATTTTCATCAAAATTTCAGGGTGAGCACAAAGAATTTTCACATTAAAGATACATGTAATGTAACTAACAAAAGCCTTTCAAATTTTAGAAATTTTTAGAAATTTCAAGAGGGCCTTCAAATGTTGTGTCAAAACCATGAAGAAGAGCTAGAAAGTGTTTTTTTGGAAACACTTAAGAAGTGCAAACACATATATAAGCATTGATGGTTTGGATGGTTTGCTGTAGGTGTAGATATTAGTATGAACACACATTTGAAGACAGTGAAATTGATAGTGAAGGGGAAAAACCTTGTTACTCTTGATCACCTAAGGTGATGAGTAATAACATCCGCTACTACATTCTACCTGATAGCTTAAATCTCGAGACTTTCCTGATAGAAGAGACACCCCGAGTCAAACCCAAAAAGCCCACTGCAGGTATTGCACATCGTACAGTTACTGACCTTTGGTGCATGGTGTTTACTAGTTTCAATTTTTTCATTTCTTTTAATTTCAGGAAAGCATTTGGGCCGTGACTGGGGGCCGAGGTCGTGGTCGCGGACATAGACATGGTGGCCAATAATTGAGTCGCTCTGGTTTTATTCATTTGAGCACCTGGCTATGTGAAATCAGTATGTTATAGGAGTGTTTGTTAATGATCGCCAGACCCAAAAGATGGCATTACAACCAACTTTTTCATTTTACTGTTAGCTCTATTTCTTATATATTGGAAGTGATTCTTTTATATTCTTTGGCCTTGATATCAAAGTGGTCTTCTCTTTATTTGGATGAATAAGGTTTGGGTTACATTGCTAGCATCATGGGAATTCCTCTTTATTTGGATGAGCCTACGTTCAAGAGAAGCAGACTTACGTTTGCAAGAATATGTATTGAAGTGCTAGCAAATAAAGAGATCCCTAATTCTTTCAAAATAAATCTTGGTTATGGTGACCCATATGAGATTCAAGTTGAGGTTCCATGGAAGCCTCAAAGGTGTGATGGTTGTAAGACTTTTGGTCATACCACTAATTTGTGTCCTCAGAAGCCAAAGACCTTGAACCCTCCATCTTCCAAACAAGAGTGGAGAGTCAAGGAGACTAACATACAAGTTCCAACCAAATGGGAAGTGGTGAAGAAAAAAGGGAGAGATGGTGGGCAAGGTTCAACGACAGTGATAAACAAAGAGGTAGAGACGCAATGTTTCACCCCATCAACATCTAATGCTTTTGATGTCCTTGAATCATGTGATATGGGAGAGTTGGGAAATGGAGAATTAAATCAAGAGTTGTTGTGTCAAACAAAGAGCCTACAAAGTAGAGGGGGTCCATCTCCAAGTGATCCCATTAATAAGGAGACTACAAAGGAGGATAACAGAAGAAAACTCAAAGCGAAACTTCATTACTTGAAGAGTGCTAGAAGGAAATTTTGAATCCTTTGTTGTGTTTGGTGTTTTTGTCGTCTATAGGCTTAGTTTGTTTCTTTTGAGGGAGTAGTTTATTTCTATGTTTATGTTTGTTCTCCCTACAAAGGATGTGTATTGAACTTCATTGTATATCTATCTTTTTTGGTTATAATATGACTTACTTATCCAAAAACAAAAAAAACAAAAAAAAAGTGGTCTTCTATCTCATGACTTGAATGAGCTTTCTACGAAATTATTTGTTTTAGCTAATCTGTTCGTAATGTCATGGTCTATTTTATCCAGTAGAGATCACCATCAGACTTATGTTAAAATTTTTTGGTCATATAGATGAATGTTTTGAAAATGTCAAAATTAGTTTTTGGACAACTTTCGGCATACCAAAACCGTCCATTACACGAAAAAGTGAGAAAGCGAGGTAGTGTAGGGCGAAGTAGGAAATGAAGTGAAGAGAATAGTAAAAGAATGAAGTAGAACTGTCAAGAATAAAAAAAGATATGAAGTTCGAAAGATGGCTTGAAGAAAAGTCAAAAATAAGAAGAAAATTCTTATTTTTTTTAATCAACTTTTGGAGCTCTGATAGCATATAAAAAGAGGAAGAACAAGATGTGTGAGATGTGATACGAAAATTAGATCATGAGTTGAATCCAACAACGTAAAAATGAGACGAAACGGAGTTATGACGAAGGAGATAGAAGGGTTTTAAGTGGTGCTTGGTGGTGGTAGTTTGCTGGTATAGGAAATGGTGGGTCTGCATCTTTCTTTTGAAATTTGGGGTCAAAATGTAATTTTTTTAACTCTTTCCGTTTCAAATTTGACAGTAGGGGCAAAATTGATAGTAATTTAAATAGTATGGGGGTACATATGAAAATAAGAGTAGTCTGAGGGTCATTGAAAGTTATGTAAAAATATAAGAGTAAAAATAAAATAATCTCAATTTTACCAGTGTGAAGTTTCTGTAGGACAATCTTCACCGTATTTAAAAGGATTTAATTCTGTTGTGTAGAAAACAACAACAAGAATAAAAGAAATAGAGAAAAGGAGAGAATATGTTTGATTACAAAAATCAAACTCGAAATAAAAATAAATAAATAAATAACAGATTTTATTTTGTTACAAAAACAAAATTAAAATCTGAATAAATAAATAAATAAAAACAACACTGAAAGTAATTAAATAACTTACTTGATTTAATTTCTTCGAATTATTTTTCTGATCAAGTCCAGTGTTTAACACTGTGTCCTGCCTCTGGCGAGGGAACACTGATTCGACCTTGAACTGAATCTCTAACCTCAGAAAGTCTATCATCCCAGGATGAAATGATCTTCCACAAACAATAGCAGCACTACTAATTGTTTGCCTTACGAACACACTAAGTGTTTACACTCTTTCTTTTGAAAATAAAATGCAGCAAGATGAAGAAAGAAAACAGAAGTGAAATACGAAATTTCTGAATGCAAAAATCCAAATGAGGGTGGTCCTATTTATAGATGTGAAGGTGACTCTTTGTTTTGAATTGAACAGGTATCAATACCTGTTGGGTTTTGAATTCAAACAGATTCAACAATTCAAAACAGATAGTAAAACGGGAAGGGCCCTGTTTGGGTGTGCATTAATTCCAAAACAGTTTATTTTTGTTTGAAACCGGGAAGGGCCCTGTTGGATGAACAAAAAATCCAAACTAATTTAATTCTGAATTTTATTTTAATAAAAAATAAAATTAAATTCAAATGTTTTTGGCCCAAAAAGATTAGAAGACACACCACGCACCCGCGCCCAGCCCGCCCGACCGAACGGACGGCGGCGCGCGTGGTGATTTTTGGGTCCAATGGGTCTAGCCCATTTTGCCCATAACCTCTCCCTCTAAAACACTTGGGTACCCCTTGGGGCACACCCCAAGTATCTCACCCTAAGCCTTATAAACCCTTTCAAAACCTCCCACCAAATCAATGTGGGACAAGCCAATTTACAACCTTAAGGAATTTCCACCAAAACTCCATTTCCATGGAGCACACTTTGGCTTCAATTTCCCATTCACTCGGTAATGGTTTTGAGCAACCAAATATACCACGTGAATCACAACGCGGCATAGAACGCGTTACCACTTTGACCCGAGTAAATTGACACTCGGGGCCCACCTAAAAAATAGACCAAACTTGAGGAAAAAATAACCATTTCCAACAGTTTCACACATCATACAGAGAGAAGTTTCATAATGTGAGACTCTTCTACCAATTATTGAGAGTTACGAGTTCCATGATGTGCAAAACAAATTTTCAAATGGGAAAGTGTGAATTGATGAGGCAAAGTATAATTTTTTTTAAAAAAAAAATTTGAACATAAATTAATTTTAAAAATAAATTAAAAAAAGCTTATAACATAAAGAGTTAAATTCAGAAAAAATAAACTAAATAAAAAATGAAAATAATTAAACATAAAAAGGACAAAGTATAATTTACCCTATGCATTTAGTTATTCTCTACATGTCTTATTATTTCTGTTTCTAAAATTATTTAAAAAAATGAGTTGTAAAGTGTAAATTTAAATTAATAAAATATAAATTATATTAGATTAATTGTGATTTATAAATTTGTTTTATTAATCAACCACAAAACATAACAAAAAATATTGTAATCAAGTTATAAATTTTTACAACATCAATCACAAAATTTTAAATATTTTGTTAGGTCAATTTGTGGTTAAGTTATTCATTTTATAATTGATGTTACGAAATTTTATAATAAAATTATATATTTTTGTAATAGGATCCATATAATAAACACTTTATAACATTTAAAAAAAAAATGTTTAAGATCCATAAAAAAAACCTTTATATTATACCCATAATAATGTGATTATATATATATATATATATATATATATTAATTTTAAATTTATTACACATCTAATCATATTGAGGCTAAACCTCTTACCCTTTATTGTGAATAAATTTATATATTTAAAAAGTGTGATCGTTAGAAACGAAAAGTGAAAGAGAGAGAGAAAGGAGACAAGTTATTTGGTGATCTTAGGTACAATTACGTGTTACTTAGAACTATTATGATTGATGAAAAAATTTAGATTTTATATTGAAGGATTAAAAAACGGATGGTGGTGTTGTTAGAGATTTAAATAAATTATCAAAAGTCTCATGGGTATAGGATTCACGTAATGTGAGAGGTTGAATAATTTATTTAACGTCCATGACATTTTCCCGCGTGAAATTTGGAGAGAGGGTCCAAGAGCAAGGCGATACCGGTTGAAATGATGATAGCATGCACATGGGGTTATTATGGGGACTATAACAGCAATCTGTTACACGTGACCTTACCGTACCCCTTCCTTGCCTTGCTTCATCAAAACATACAACATAAAATCATCACCCCAATTCCAGCCATTAATGCCGTAGACCTTTCTAGACTTTAGTCTTCTTCTTCTTCTTCTTCAATGGCCACTCAAACCGACAACAAGAACAATCCTGTTCTCCCTCCTCCGTTAAGGTACCTAATTGTTCGCCCCCAAAATGGCGGAATTCGAGACCTGTTCCGATTCCTTGTCTCCGCCGACCAAGCCAACGCCGCTAAATTCATCCAGACCTCCGACGAGGTGGCGGCGGAGTTGTATGTTGGCGGCGGTCTGGCGGCTGATCACCGGTGGGTCATATTTGTGTCGATTGTAGTTCGGAAACTCATAGCCATGTTTGGTAAGCCTATGGAGTGGATTGGATGCTTGATCGACTTCTTTCTTAATCTCCTCTCTCATAATGGTGGACTCCTCGGTTTACTCTTCAACCTCCTCTGTGGTAACTAATGAAGCTACACTTTTTATTTATTTATATATATATATATATACGCACACCATCTGTTTATGTTTATGTGTGTATGAGTTCTGTTTACAAATGGAAATGGTGTTCTTGCTGCTATTGTGTGTGTTTAATCCTATTTCATATGTCATAATTGGAAGCTATGAGTTTTTTTGCAAGGAAGAGGTTGTTTGGAAGGACGTCTAATCCAACAGTCACCTTCAATTTAATATAAACTACTCCAATCCTTTAATTAAAATCTTTTTAGAAATTTCACTCTTATTCCAAATTTCCCTTTTCATCAAATTTGATGAAAAGAAATAATCTCCAATGCTTCATCTTTTTAAATTTTCATTTGATAAGTTTTCAATTTGATGGGAAAAAAAAAAAAAAAGACTCCTTTGATTTGATGAACCTTTAATGAAAGGATTTGAGATGATTTTTAAAAGATGAAGGATTGGAGATGCTCTTACACTGTATTAGTATAGTCCCACAATCATTTGAGTGTCTGTAATCTATTTTGTGTTTAGTTTCTATGTTTCTAGTATTTTTGTTTCAAAGTGCAACTTCAACTGGTTTGTTGTAAAAAAGTTTAAAGTTGTGTTTAAAGCATGACTTTACCTTAAAGTAGTGTTCAACCTGGTTTGAGAAATAAGTTTAGAACAGTTTGGCTTTGAGAATTTTGTTTCAAAACAACTTGCATTTGGTATTGGGTTTTTTTTACCAAATGAAGGTGATTTTTTCCAAATCCAAGGGAATATAAACCACAGAGACAGAGTACTTCAATAGCAGTCTACTGTGTGCATGCTTGGTTTGAAATTGTTGTGACCCTGTTGGCAGTACTGAAGGAGGATGTGGAGGTGGGGGCTTTCACCATATATACAAACACACATGTATGTATAATATGATATATAAACTACCGAGGTTAGTCAGTATTTGGGCGTCCCCTTTGAAGGCCATGAAGATGAGGCTGTCAACTTGTTTTCTGCAATAGAGGAATCCTGGAAAGGGGGCGTTCCTTTGGGAAAGGAGGTGCAAACTGAAGGACAGAAACAAAAGAATTCTAGGGAGTTGCGTAAGTTAGAATGTTTTATAAATTATGATCGGAGACACAGGCGGGGAGGGGAGGGGTGGTAGAACGGGCCGTGGAACTCCGTTATTGTTGCCATGCAGTTAAAAATTTTGTCATGGAATGTGCGTGGATTGAATGATATAGGGAAAAGGGTCTTAGTTTGTTCTCTGTTGAGAAGTGCTAGGGCAGATGTAGTGTGTCTTTTTGGTATTGGGTTTTTTTTACCAAATGAAGGTGATTTTTTCCAAATCCAAGGGAATATAAACCACAGAGACAGAGTACTTCAATAGCAGTCTACTGTGTGCATGCTTGGTTTGAAATTGTTGTGACCCTGTTGGCAGTACTGAAGGAGGATGTGGAGGTGGGGGCTTTCTCGCTTTCTTGTATGTTTCGGTGTGTTGCGGATGATTATCAGTGGGCTTTCACCGGGGTTTATGGCCCCGTTAGACGGTCGGAACGGGTTACGTTTTGGGAGGAACTACAGTTTATTGCTTTTCGGTGGGGGGTTCCTTGGTGTGTGGGTGGGAACTTTAATGTGGTGCAGTGCATGGAGGAGAAGCATGGGGCAAGCTCTGTGTCTGGATCTATGTGAGTTTTTTCGTCATTTATTGATGCGATGGATTTGTTGGACTTACCGCTTCAGGGGGGTGGTTATACTTGGTCGGGGGGTAGGGCGATGTCCCGTATTGATAGGATTCTGGTGACTGGAGATTGAGAGGGGCATTTTTCCCAGGTGACTTAACTCAGGTTGCATCGTCCTGTTTCGGATCATTGGCCAATTTTACTGGATAGTGGGGGGATCAATAGGGGACCGTCGCCATTTTGATTTGAGAATATGTAGCTTTTGTTTGAAGGCTTTGGGGAGAACGTGAGGGGGTGGTGGGGCAGTTATGCAGTGCTTGGGAATTCTAGTTGTCGTTTGGACCAAAAATTGAAGTTTCTCTAGTTGGATTTGAGACAGTGGAATAGGGAGGTGCTTGGGAGGCTGCAGACTCAGAAGGTGAATATTTTAACAGTATTGCAGGGGCTGGATGAGAAAGAGGGCAGGGGTGCCTTATCTGAGGAGGATCTGGCTCGACGGGATGCGATTCGCAAAGAATTTGGACACGTGGCTCATTTGGAGGAGATTAGTTATCGTCAAAAATCTAGATGTTTATGGTTAAAGGATGGGGATCGGAGCACGAGTTTCTTTCACTGTAGGCAAATGCGCATCGGCAAGTGAATCATATAGGGAAATTGCGGGTGAATAGGGTGGTGTTATCATCCACGGAGGAGATCAATGGGGCCATAGTGGGTTTTTATGAGTTTTTATTTCGGCCTGATGAGGGAGTTTGGAGATCGACTTTGGATGGGGTTCCATTTGATGTTATTTTAGAGGCGGATTGTTCTTTGTTGGAGAGGGCGTTTATGGATGTAGAGGTGTTTGAGGCTCTTCGGAGTATGCCTGAGGATAAGGCGCCTGGGCCTGAAGGTTTTTCTATAGCTTTTCTCCAGCATTGTTGGGGAGTGGTGAAGGAGGATGTAATGGTATGTTTGAGCAGTTTCACCGGACGGGCCAATTTGACAAGAGCTTGAATGCCACTTTTATTGTGTTGATTCCCAAGAAAAGTGGGGTAGAGGATAATCGGAACTTTCGCTCTATCAGCCTTTTGGGTAGTATGTATAATCTATTGGCCAAGGTTTTGGCAAATTGGCTGCGAGTGGTGTTGGGAGGGGTGGTGTCTGAGCCTCAGAATGCCTTTGTGGGTGGTAAGCAAATACTGGATGCAATTTTGGTGGCCAATGAATGTGTGGATTTGAGGTTGAGGCAGAGAAAGATGGGGATTATGTGTAAACTAGATATTGAAAAGGCATATGACAATGTTAGTTTGGAGTTTTTATTTCATATAATGGAGAGGATGGGTTTTGGGGCTCGATGGAGGCACTGGATTCATTTCTGTATATCTAGTGTGCGGATATCTGTGTTGGTCAATGGCTCTCCAGCAGGATTTTTCCCCACATATCGAGGCCTTCGGCAGGGTGATCCCTTATCCCCGTTGTTGTTTGTTTTGGTTATGGAGGCTTTGGGGCGTTTGTTGTCTAGAGCAATTCATGGAGGTCTGTTGCAAGGCTTTGAGGTGGGTTCTGGTCCCAATTCTTTGGTCGTATCCCATCTTTTTTATGCGGATGATGCTCTTGTATTCTGTGATGCTGATGCTGGTCAGATTGGACATCTTCGGTGTGTGTTGCTTTGTTTTGAGGCTGTGTCTGGTCTTCGGGTCAATCTTTCAAAGTCTGAATTAATTTCAGTAGGTGAGGTGGCTCGACTTCCGATTTTGGTGGCAATTTTGGGGTGCAAAATGGCTTCTCAGCCAGTGTCGTATCTTGGTCTTCCTTTGGGAGTTTTTTTCAAGGCACTCAGGGTGTGGGACAAGGTAGTGGAGCATGTGTAGTGGCAGTTGGCCGGGTGGAAGCGACAATATTTATCTAAAGGTGGGAAGATTACGTTGGTCAAGAGTGTCTTGTCGAGTATTCTGACTTATTTTATGTCGATTCATGTGATCCCGGTGGCAGTTGCGAAGCGGATAGAGAACTTACAGCGGGATTTTTTCTGGGGCAATGAGGGGGAGGGTTCTAATTCTCATTTGGTGGCATGGGATCGCATTTGTCGTCCTAAGGAGCAAGGGGGTTTGGGAGTTAGGCGGTTGGTTATGTTTAATTTGGCGTTACTGGGTAAGTGGTTGTGGCGTTTTGTAAGAGAAAGGGAGCATTTATAGAGGAAGGTGGTTGTGGCCAAGTTTGGTCTGGGCAAAAGGGGGTGGTGTTCATGTAGGGTGGGGCAGCCTTACGGTTGTGGTGTCTAGAAAGGAGTTTGGTCGGGTTGGGAGGAGTTTTGGCGGAGGAGTCAGCTCAAGGTAGGGTTGGGAGATCGAGTCTGTTTCTGGCGTGATAAGTGGTGTGGGGATATTTCTTCGGAGCAGTTGTTCCCTCTGATTTTTGGTATTGCGGAAGATTGTGAGGTTTTGGTGGGGGTGGTTAGAACGGGACAAGGTCCGGTGGTGGTTTGGAATGTGCGGTTGCGTCGTGAGGTTCAGGATTGGGAGGTCGATCAGTTAGTGGAGATGTTGGGTTTCTTATATGGGCTGAAAGCTGGGAGTGCAAGGGAAGATTCTATGGTTTGGGTCTGTCCCGGCTCTAAGGGGTTTTTTTCTGTATCTTCCTACTATGGGTGCGCTTGCTCATGTTGATGCGGTTTCGTTCCCTTGAAAATGCATTTGGGTGTCAGGCACGCCATCTAAGGTAGCTTTCTTTGTATGGACGGCGGCCTTAGGACGTATTCTGACGATCGATAATCTGATGCGCCATGAGCATGTTCTGGTGAATTGGTGTTGTTTGTGTTGTGGTGATGCTGAATCGGTGGACCATGTGCTCGTGCATTGCCTTATTACATATCGGCTTTGGATGCTTATTGTGGTGACTTTTGGTGTGCTTTGGGTGTAGCTAGGTTCGGTGTTGGCAGTTTTGCAAAGTTGGGCTGGGGGTAAGGTTGGGAGGAGACATCAAAAGGCATGGATGATTGTCTCTCACTGTTTAATGTGGCATCTTTGGTTGGAGCGCAACAGGCGTGTTTTCCAAGGGGTGTCTCACTCGATTTCTTGGCTGGAGAGGCGGATGTTTATGGTGTTATACAATTGGGTTACGGGGTTGGTTGATTCAGATGTGTTAGCTTATGTTAATTTTGGGGAGGATTTGATAGCTTAGCTTTTTTCCTTGGGGGTTGAAAGTTTGTATTCTTTGCATCTTCTTGATGCTTTTCTAATAAAATTGCTTATTTATCAAAAAAAAAAAAAAAAAAAATGATATGTAAACAATATATACACATAAAAAAATTCAAATCCTATAAAAGTAATATTTAATAGGATAAAAAAAATTTTTTGTTAGAAAATAAAAAGAGAATGTGAGATGGTAGAAAAATATGATACATCTTTTATACTGAAAGACTATTTTATTTATAAAATAAGATATATATTTTAAAAGTGTTAATGGTTAATAGAATTTTCACAGAAACAGGAAGCCATAGCCCCCCATAGTCTTCTCTGAGTTCCATCCCTGCATGATTCATCAATATTTAAGATTTGTAATAAAATTATTATGAAAATATTCAAAAAATAGGACCTTATTGAAGAGTAAAAGGTTTTCAAAAATGTTTCTAAATTTGTGACCATTCATCTGAAGAGGAGTTTAGTGAATTCATTCAATTCAATACCTTATAAATTTGTAAATCATGTAACTTGCAAACCGTCTACAATTTGTCTTACCTGGATTATGAAAGGTTTAATCTATACATGATATGAAATCTGCTTGCTAAATCTGGATTCCTCTATATCGTCATGGAAAAATCTTGTATTATTTCCATTGAAATAATTGCAGTAACAATGGTCACAATGTAATGTTCAGGAAAGGTGGTGATGCCACAGAGAGGCTCGGAGACTTTTATAAGCACAATTGGGCATTTAGACGGGCGAACAGATCTATACAAGAGCAACTCTTTAGTGGACAGAACAGGTGAACCTGCTTCTGGAGTGAAGGACTTACAATTAGAAATTGGAAACCGAGCTCTCACGGACCTCTGTATGATGGCCTCCAAGTTGGCCTATGAAAATGCCAAAGTTGTTAGAAATGTCATAAACCTACACTGGAAGGCATGCTCTCCACTTTCGTTCTCCGTCTCTTTAAATTAACTGACTGTAGCAGTACAAACTTCTTCCCATAATGTATATTAATCTTGAATCACTTTCGGAAAAAATTATGCAGATGCATTTTGTGGATTTCTACGACTGCTGGAATGGTAAGAACAATCTTTTTTTCATCGACTATTAACCTTTTAACGCATGCCTATTGTGATTGGGAATTTGTTGTTTGTGTTTATAGATTACCAAAAGGAGAGATCTACCCAAGTTTTCATAATGTGTGACAAGCCAAAAGATGCAAACTTGATATTGATCAGTTTCAGGGGTACAGAGCCATTCGATGCTGATGATTGGAGTACTGACTTTGACTATTCTTGGTATGAGATACCAGAGTTGGGAAAGGTTCACATGGGTTTTTTAGAAGCCATAGGTTTGGGCAACAGAGCTAAAATCTCCACCTTTCAAAATCTTCTTCAACTGAAAGACACAAATTTCAGCTCTTCAAAAGGTTCTGAATCTACTGAATCCGATGCAGAGAAAAGTGGATCGGATCAATCTTCTGATACTGGCGAGAAGGTGCTCATTCCAGAAATGGTGGAGATGACAGCATACTTTTCTGTGAGAAGTAAACTCAAGAGCTTACTTGAAGAACACAAGAATGCGAAATTCGTAGTCACTGGACATAGCTTGGGAGGGGCACTTGCTATATTGTTCCCAACCATTTTGGTGATGCATGAGGAGAGGGAACTAGTGGATAAGTTGTTGGGCTTGTACACGTATGGACAACCACGGGTTGGTAACATGCAGTTGGGAAAGTTCATGGAAGCCCATTTGGATTCTCCAGTCCCCAAGTACTTCAGGGTAGTCTACTGCAATGACCTTGTGCCAAGGTTGCCTTATGATGACAAAACCTTCCTGTATAAGCATTTTGGGGTGTGCCTCTATTATAACAGCCTCTACATTGAACAAGTATGTGTTCTGGCTTTCCTATTTACACTTGCTTCTTTTTTTTTTTTTTTGGATTTGGTTTTTCTCATTTTCAAGTATATCAATATTACACTACCATCAAATGAAAAATTGACTTGATGTGAAGAAAGATGCTGAAGAAAAAGAACAGAATTTGGACTATTCTGTTGTAGAGTATGTCAAATAGGGCAGCAAATATATTAGTAGTTATGACAATAAATGTCAGTCTTGGAATTGTCATTTGAATTGATGAAAATAAATATGCTGAAAAAAAGAAACATATGAGGTATCATAATTAAACAGCGAAATTTTAGCCCAGTAGCTGAAATTCAATTGTTCAGCATGTTTGAAGACGAGGCGTGCCAATTTAATTTATGTCCTTTCTTTTTGCTTTTTTGGATTTTATTTCCAAAATTTAGGATCTATCATTATATGGAGTTTTCCTAAATGTATCAACCTTAGAAAAACTCAGTTCGAAATGAAGAACTTTAACCAATTGATTCGTCAAACATTTTTTTCAAACTTTTTGAAAGTATTTTCAACAAGATCATTTGGCTCATATGGTTTAATGATTCTAGTATACGTAATCTTTTACAGTGAGACACATTAAATAGTAGCCTCACATTTTCACAAAATGTTAATCTTCAAGGTCTAAACTCTGATAATTTTTACTAGCTCTTGTTCATATGTATAGTCTGAGAAATTTTCATCAAAACATTTGTTCGTCTCAGTAGCACTGAATTGTTTTTTTGTTTTTTGTTTGTTTCTTTGTAGAAAGTTGAAGAGGAGCCAAACAGAAATTTCTTTGGGATCCGGTACATGATTCCAGAGTATCTAAATGCTGTTTGGGAGTTAATTAGAAGCTTGATTATGGGTTATACACATGGACCAGAGTACAAGGAAAGTTGGTTATCTGTATTGCTGAGGATAGTAGGATTGGCAATGCCCGGTATTTCAGCACACAGCCCCACAAATTACATCAACTCTATAAGGCTCGGAAGGAACAGCGCCATCCCGATGTCCTCTCTATGAAAGGCTCATCCTCCAATAATGTAGCTCTCAATGCTGTTGTGGGACTCAGATTTGCAATAGCATTTTAGTTCTGTTTTTTGGGTAGTTTTGATCTGAATAAAGTTTTGTTGTTTCCATGTTTTGAGTGTAAATTGTAGTGTGTGCCTCGGAAATGGACTCCTGCTACAAACAATTGTTTGATTGTGTTGTTTTCTTTTGGGGGCATTTGTCCTAATAAAATTTTTGTTGTTTCCAAATTTGAATGCAAATTCAGAGTTGTAGTTGAAAATGTGGTGACATTTAGGATCCAATCTTGTTTCCTTTTGCATTGCTTTTACTAAATTATAGGGCAAAGCTTTTCTCTTTCTTCCTAGACTAAAGACTAAGGATGGAAATAAGGGTGTGTTTGGAATGGGCATTTGGGAATGACTTATTGTCCATTTTAAGCCTCTATTGTAGCGTATTAAGAAAGCATTTCAAATGATTCCTACCTTTATCTTCTCCCTCCACAAATCCATGTATAAATTCAAGATAATTTCCTACCCCAATTTTACCTCTACACAAATTCATAAATAAATTTAAAATCCAAAAACAACCTAAATGAGAATTGTTCAAGATCTAAACATTTGGCTAGGCAAAACACATGGACCATGCTGTAGTGAGTCCAAAATATACTCTCCAAAGCCACACCAGCTAGGTATCTTTTTGACGTCCAGAATAGTCCATTGATTACACAAATATCCCTGCAATCAGAAACTAAAATCTCGAAGAACTCGCCAAAAATAGTCTGGCTCTCTATAAAAAAAATGTAATAATACATAATAGGAAAATGGAATGATTTATTAGCAAAAAGGCTCATTCCAGATGCACTCCAAACCTCTGGAATCCGAAAAAAAAAAAAGAAAAAAGAATTTGATTGTATAGTTCACCGACTAACATCATTTCCAGCAACGCCGTGGCATGTCTCTTGCAAATTGTTTCCAATTTCATCATACCAACAAATACAGTAGTGTTTATCTTCTCTAGAAAATTGTACAAGACAGGCTTACTATGTCATGGCTTTAGACCGTATGAGCTGTCTGAATTGATCTCATGTCCAAATTTTTGAGCCTCACCACCGATTCTACGTGTCCTCTCAAAGTGTGCAATTCTCCTAGTCTGCAAAGTAGAACAGTCATATAACCAAGTTTTCAACAAGAAAATATGGTTTTTTGAGAGAGGCTATGAAAAATGTGAAACTATTCATAAAGTACATGACATTGAGCAACAAAATCTACAGAAGAAAATTATGAAACAAAAAGTCTATGGGCATAGAAAGTACATGACACAGAATGCAAAGATGTGAGACAAAATGTTCGCAATTACAGATGGAAACAAAATGTTGTGAACATTTTGTCTCACATTTGTGTTCCATTATGTGAAATTCTTCTCTGTTCCTAGCACTGTTAGATTATGAAAAGGTTAGACAGTATTATGGGTGAAAGTCTTAACATACCTAGCTATTTCAGCACGACGCCTGGCTTGTTCAGCAATCAGGTTGGACCGCCTTCTACTGATCTCCAACTCTCCAGACATCAATCCTTGTAGAGTTCTTTGAGAAAGTACCCACTTAGCCTCTCTGTCTTCCTTCCCATAATCTTTTTTGGATGTGAAAGCCGTCTGATAAAGAAAGCAAGAAAGAACAAAGAATGTTCTCTAAATAAGGAATACACCATACCAAAAAAACCAAATATAAAAAGAAACAATGGAGAAATTATTTACACAAACCTTCCTATCAAACAGTAGATTCCAGGCTTCTCCACTCAAAGCATAGTGAACTGCAAACTTGATAATATCAAGGGGGATGTAGAAGATCACACTATATAGCCATATAACACCTGCCCACCCCCATCCAATGCCACTAATTGAAGCAAAGCTAATAGTTGCATAGACAGCAATTAGGGTAGCAACCTACATGTCCAAAACAAACAGAAGAAAAATTCAATCATCTGAACTCTGCTTTCTTTGCTCTGTTCTTTCACAATCAAGTTTTAACTTTGTCAAGGGACGGATCCATGAGTTTAACATAGCAGGGACGAACATATATACTGACATAAATTTTACTACAACATCAATTTCTACCAGCGTAAAAGTAAAAAATAAGATGAAAATGTATAATAAGCATGTTGTCCTGTATCTACGATAAGTTACAAAAGATGGCAAATGTAAAACAATCAATCTATGCTAAAGTGAGGAATCTTGAGTAGTGTTCATGTAACTTACTGACTCCTCCTCCGCCTTCTCTTCTTTGCAGACTAGGGATTGTAATCAATACTAGTTATGAAAAACTAATTTATTTTCTTATATAATTTTCAGATTATATATATATATATATTTTAAAGCCCATGGCATATATAAGTCCATCCTTGACATTATATTAGTGTAGGTCCAACAATATGCCAAGTCCAATCTTAAGTTGAACTAGAAGTATATGGGTGTGCTTGAGTTTGGCAGTTACAGATCTGTAGATATGGTTCAATTCAGTAACTACAGGAGGGCATTTTCGAAAAACAAAAGCTGTGACATCCACACCAAGTCCAGCCTTTGCTTTATATATTAGTATAAAAAATAAATAATTAGGTATTTAATCTGGCATATTTACAAAAACACATTAAAGGTCAAACATGTGAAAAAAAGAGGACCATGCAATGTGTGGAGGGTCTTTCCTAGTTGAATAAACCTTACCAATTGAGCCACAACAAATGCACACATCAGGAGAATCCCAGGCCTCTCCATAAATGACCAACTATGGCTGCGGGTAACAAATATAAGAGCTTGGCTGATAATGCTGACTTGAAGATACATAGCTGATGAAATTTTTTCAGTACTGGATAGAGACTCCACACCAAAATGGTTCTGCAGCCAAATCAGTAATTTAATAAGCCTGATTTCAGGAACATAAAACAAATTCAAGATTTGTATTTTTACATTTTTCCTCGGAACTTCTTAACAAACAAAATAAAGAAACAATTCTGCGATTATGGTACCTCAAAGAAAGAAGTGCTTCCTACAACCCAGTAAAACAAGACAGTAATTAAAGCAAGATAAGTGCCAATGACAACACCGGTTGCAAATATTTCATTAAGCTTCCAACTGTCAGGTTTCGGAGATGGCTTCACCCTGTCTTTTGAAATTGTCATGATGGTCCCTGTTTGCAAAGACAAAGAAACATATTTTAGTACACATTTTACACCAAGGTCTTTTTTATTTTTTATTTTTTATTTTTTCCCAGATGGCTAAGCATCACAGTTTGTATACTGTAAAACAGAGTTTTCAAGTGCAATGGGAACTGATTTTTTTAACTAACAAATAAGAATAATATTTTTGTTTTTGGCTGAGCAGGGATATTTTGCCCCCTACACCCCAAAATTAAAATTAATATTATCACTTCACAGGCAAGTTAGATTTCAAAAAACTACAGTTTGGTTTATTGTACTTTGAAATATTTATATTTACAAAAAAAAAAACTTAATACATAACCAGTGTAAACTTATTTAGCACAGAGCCAGGTAAAAGCAAAGTCAAATTAAGACTAAGCATTTATTTTTCTTAAAAAGATCCCATTTATCTCATTCCTAAATGTCGGGGAAAAAATTAGTGGCTCCAACTTCCATTCAAAATATTAAAGCCAAGCCAAGCCAAGCCACATTGCTTAATTTCGAAATTTCATTTGTTATTTTTCTTCTTTCTTCATTGTTCATATAAAAAAGACTTCCACACTTGAAACATTACCATCATTCAATATTGCTATAATCAGAACCATGAAAGGCGGAAAGTCGTATTCCCATATCAATGCTAGGAGCATAAAACCAAGCTGCAAGAAGATTAAAATTCAGAAATTTTGTGAGGTTTAAGAGACAAAAGAAAATTTCTAACTTGATTGGTATATTTCATACTTGAAACAAAAATTACAGTACATAGGATGCTCCCAACTTACCACAATCCGAATTGTTATGGAGACAGCATATATCTGCATAATCACAAGTAACCCATGAAAGTATTGAAACATTAATCAGAGCAAGAATTACAATAAGGACATGTATATGTGGAAGACTGCATTGGTGGTCCTATATGTTCTCTGATGTGCCATGCATGCTTATTGATGTTGGCCATCAAAGACTCAGTGCACCCACAATGATAAAACATTTTCTTTCCCAAAATATTATGCAAAAATATAACTCTCATGCACATAAACTTCAGACTTCTAAGCCACGAAAAGCTAGCTCGTTGCAAGCCATATGGCAACAGTTTTATGGAAAAGAATCACTATTAGGTCAAGATGTATTTTGGGTACATTACTTTTTTGGAGATGATTTGTTGCTCTCTAGCATTCATACAAAGGGCCTTATTTGAGTAAACTTATGGTACCATTTTATGCAAGAAGAGAATATTAGTACTGAACCGTATAATTCTTCATTCTTTGGAATATAGCACGGCTGGTTAAAACAGCACTGATAATCACACTTAATCCTGGCTCTGTCAAGACAATATCAGAAGCACTCCTTGCTGCATCTGTAGCATCTGCCACCGCAATTCCAATATCTGCTTTCTTTAAAGCAGGTGCATCATTCACACCATCTCCAGTCATTCCAACGACATGCTTCTTTTCTTGTAGAATCTTCACAATCTCATACTTATGTTCTGAAAATGGCATGGCAATAACAACTAGAATCAGACTGGGAAATGGAACAATAAAAAAATGTTCTGAAAGCAATCCCATACCTTAGCAGTATCGTTAAGGACTGAATTAACAATGAACAATGACAATCATTTAAGACAATAAAATTAGTGACTTCAAGGATGTTAAAATCCACCTACTCTCCACCTACTTCACCCACTTAAAATCAATAATACAATTCTCTATTTCTCTTTATACATTAAATTTCTACAAAGGATATAGTTTCAGAGCAGATGCTATGAATTTTTTCTGAAGCTGAAAAGCAGTGTTGCAAGACAAGTTAGTGTTTCTCTGGGTATCAAATGCAGGACACCTACAGCTAGATCCCTTAACGAGTTGAAGTAGATATAGCACTTGCCTAGTGCCACTAGGTAAAGCTAATAGACACACATTGCTTTCAAGCAAATATGCATTGAGACTCATATGCTTATGTTTGGAGCCTAGACTAATATTCATTCCCAGTATAGATTCTATCTTAGATCTGTCTAGTCTCATGTTGACAACTTGACATTTATTTGTATGTTGAGGTACATTGAAGCCAAATAGCATAGAATATGGGTCTGGAGTCGATACATATCAAAGATAAAAGATAAAGAGATGACAAAAGACTAAACAGTACACCCAGCATTGAAGAATTGACTGAAGGATTGGATTCCCAAATAGAATTAAGACTTAAAGGACAAGACTCCAAGTTTACAAACACAGATGACGCAGATATCCATTGAAAAATATATTCAAATATTGAGAAAACTTTTATGAACTGAAAACATGCTTTTCCCCTCACTTGCCAAAAAATCGCCGCCTTTGAATTAATTAATATAAAATAAGATAAATGATTCTACAAAAAAAGAAAAAAAAGAAAAAGAAAAGGACGAAATATATGTCAGGTAATGTTTTCATGTCATGAGATTGGTAATGTATTCAATTCAAGTACCAGGAAATACACCAGCAAAGCCATCTGCCTTCTCAATGAGCTCATCCACCGGAAGAACTTCGTTTTCATCCCTGTTACGGCCCAACAATGATGAAGACGGGTACATATTAGTTCCCATGCCAAGTCGTCGACCTGTCTCCTTTGCAATTGCCAACTGATCACCTGTATTAGCACATAAAATAAGTTGATGTACAGAAGAATGTGCCAATGATATGCGTTCGTCATGACCATTTCTATATGTATATGACTACAAATTCCATTCGCAATCAAAAATAGATTATAACCTTTCTTATTATCTATGTAAAGGTTCATCCCCAAATTAGCTTTTTGTTGTAAATGGTTCTTAAGATGCATACTTTTTTCCTTCCACCACTTCCATGTGCCTAATACTATCTTCTGAGCATTCATATGTATCAATTTTCTAGTCTTTTATTTATTTATTTAAAATTTTCATTTCCAAACATTTCTCAGATATCTGAATCCAGTTTTGTGGATCAAGCAAAATGTAATATTGGGCATTGTTAACAGATACATGATCAGAACACTTTAAACTCGTATGTAAGCTCTAGATGGATGGATGATAGTAACCTTTGAACAATTGTTATTGTTCTATGCCCCATCTCTTGTTAATCTTCATGTTCTACATTGCAAATAATGATCTCCTTAAACTTTATTTCCTCTCAGTAAATGATTCCCCTTCAGGCAATAAATGGAGTACACTTTGAGATTGTTGGATGACGAGAGCTGCTCCCAGATTTGATAAGTTAAATCCTACTGATTTAAAATACATCTCATTTTTTCACTTGATATCCCATTTTTCTTCTTATTTTGGTCTTAACTAAGCATTAATGGAAAGTAATCATTAGTACCAGAGTTGGGAGATAATTCGAAGTATAAGATCGATGATAGCTAGTAATCATTAATTTGAAACTGGAAATTAACAGTGAGTTCTAACAGAAAACCAGATTTAAAAAAATAAAAAAAATAAGTAAAAAAATTCTGATTACCTGTAATCATCTTAACACAAACACCAAGGTTAAGTGCTCTACGAATGGTCTCAGCACTATCATGCCTAGGAGGATCAAACAAGGGCAGCAACCCACAGAATTTCCAAGGACCCCCAGGACCGTCCTTTGATCTTTCTGGAACTTCCTGCAAGGATAATTGAAAAAAATGAGCAACTTCGCCAGACATACAATGTCCAACAATTTGGGTTCTACACGAGCATAAATTGTAACAATATTAGCATGCTTCAATTTGGTTTACAAATTGGTTCTTTGCCTTGAATATCCTAAATCTTGGACACAAAGAAGTGTATAACTGTGTCTAGCTAATTGTTAAAAACCACCTCACCTACTCCACTAAACCTAACCCACTACACCACTACCACCTCACCTACTCCACTAAACCTAACCCACTACACCACTACCACCATCCACTACACCTACATCTATATAAGGAACCATTTGTAATAGACAAAAAATCAAGATACAAACAATCAATAATACTATCAATTTATTTTTACATCTCTCTATCAATTTATCTTACACTAATCACTAGCACTTTAGGATGCTAATAGCATCCTCTTAGACAAACACACTATTCTTGCACTCACATTCAGTTTTCAATCAGCAAATTCATCAAACCACAGTTTTGTTAGTGACATGCAACAAAGAAACTAAGACACTGTTTATCTGGCCGCCAATTCCACCTTCAACCCAACAGAAGTAAAATAAAGAAAAGCTACTGAAGCCTTTATACCTGAAGAGCAACCCCAAGGGACCGCAAGCCACGTTCAGCGAACTTGTCAATAATGGCATGCACTTTTCCAGCGATCTCTTCTCTCTCTTCAGAGAGATTTAGAATCTGGATTTATGGAGGAGAAAAAAGAAAGCATGAAATGATGGTTACTGTGATACAGTTTTGGAAAAAACATGAATCATTCTTATGCCATACCAAATAAATAATTGGCCCCATAAGATGGTATTGAATAAAATTTGCAAACGTGTTTATTGGTATTACTTATTTTTTTCTCCCCTTCATAGTAAAGGATTGAAAAGTGCTCAAAATAGGATCTTCAAGAGCAATATTTATATAGAGAGACCTTGAAGAATTTAAAGCTAAACTTAAACTATCAATTTAAACAACAAATGTTCATGTTTGGAATGTAAAATTCACTAAAAGGTGAGGCAAAGTGTAAATCCTAATTAATAAACTAGTTTAAATGGAACATAAGTGGCACTTAGGATCATTGTAATTCTGGACACAAAGAAGCAAAAGTAAATAATATCATTATATGTGATAAAAGGGTAACGTCAATCATGGTACTTATGTTGTAAAATAATTTTATAAATTCCAAATATCACGGTCCCTGATCATGATCTACAAAGATTTTAATGAACATTTCCTAGTTTGTGTCGGGAAAACTTAATCTACACAATCTTTTGTGAGGTTCGCAACCATATGTGCCAGAAACAATGTGATTAAAGAATTACAGTGATTGTTTATTTATAGTGTGGTTACCTGTTCAGGAGATCCTTTGCTGGCCCGATACCAGTTGCCATCAGAATCAATGTACGTAATTGCAGTGCGTTTGTCCACTGGATTGAAAGGAAGGAAATGCACTTCTGTGATGTTTGCACGTGCCTGTAGACAAAACGATTTTTCCCTTCTTGAATAACCTACAAGTGAAAAGAAAAGAAAGAAAAAAACTAGAAACTTAAGAGCAATATATTTTTCCTCTAACCTCCTTTGGATCAGCAAGCATGTTAACAATGGCTGTATCAATGGCATCCTGATTCTCCAGTCTTGATGCTCTGGCAGCAAGCAGGACAATCATGTCCTTGTCCATATCTTTGTTAAAAACCTACAGAAGAAATTTATCATCAAGTATGTATTATATACCGACATGATCAGCACATACTTGTTTCTCGGAGATCAAGTTAGCTTAGGGAAAATGAGACTTGATGAAGTCGACTTTCCATACCTCAATAAGGTTTCGATCGACAGTGAGGCGATTCAGGGTAAGAGTTCCAGTTTTATCACTACAGAGGACATCCATTCCAGCCATTTCTTCAATTGCTGTCATCCTCTTCGTAATGGCACCCTTTAGGTAACAGAAGGAAAAAAAGGGAAAAATTAAAAGAATAAAGAGTTGTTATGTAGTCAGCATTGAAATTTGAGCTTAAGATTCTTCTGTTATGGCTCTTACATGAATTATTTTGAGTTTGTATTAATTATTTGTGTGTGACAAACAATGGTGTCTCAATTAGGAGCTGTACCTGTTGAGAGAGTCGATGAGAACCAATTGCGAGCGTGACAGATAATACTGTTGGCATAGCTATAGGTATTCCTCCAATCAATAGAACAAGAAGGTTGTTGATTCCATCTCTGTATGAACGGAGCTGTATGGGGTACATGACAATGATTTCTAGAATCATCCCCACAGCTATAGAACAAATGCAGAAATTCCCAATGGCAGTAAGAACCTGCAGGAAAAACATTTTACATTTCTCACAATGTTTGCCAACCAGGTTTTGTTTGAAATTTTGATGGAAACTTCAATACTCTCATAACTTATTTATATTCAAGGAGTTTTAATTGCCAACAAGTTTCAGGTTGCCTTGTCCTGGTGTGAAATTTCTTGCATTTTACATAGTCTTAAATTACTTATGGAACTGTACTCCATGTTGCAGTATTTCTAAGTTGCCATGTACAAGGCAAGAGGCATAGCTCAACAATGATAGATTTCTTAATCACCTTCTGGAAATGACCAATACTTTCAGTGGAATCGACTAGATGTGCAGCTTTTCCAAAGAAAGAGTGAACTCCAGTTGCTATCACTACAGCTTCAATCTCTCCTTGCTTACATGTTGAACCAGAAAAAACTTCATCACCTGTCCTCTTGGTGACAGGAAGTGATTCTCCAGTAAGAGCCGACTGCACAGAAAAAAAAATAAAAATCAGATAGTAATACCACTTAACTAATCGTATAAAATTTATTTAGAATAGACAAATTTAAAAATTACATAACTTTCAATGCAATGCCAAGAAAGAGCTACTCAAAGAAAAACAACAAATAAAACTACCAAAACTAAAAAACAAATAAAATGTAGCACACTTCTTTAGTTTATCAAGAGTAGTTGCCTGGTCAATTTTCAGTGGATCACCCTCAAGCAGGCGAGCATCTGCAGGGATGATATCTCCAAGCTTTATGCTGATAATATCTCCTGGTACTAGAACAGATGCATCTTGCTCTTGCCAACGACCATCTCTAAGGACCTGCACAAGAAGATGGTCAGTTGATTCCTTTTTGGAAATGCAAAATAGGGTAAAAGGGTAATTACTGAATACTCTAATGTGTGATTTCCACTGTAAGGTTACAATGGTACCCCCTTTGGGGAAGGTTAGGTAGCAGTGCAAAGAATCTGTTTGGGAAATGTAAAATATGCTACCCTCTTGTGACATTATTGACCCAAAGAGAGTGAGAGAGAACAGTAAGATCAGTGCCTGCCTACTCAGAGAATTTCATTGAAAGTATCAGAATCATCATTAGCCCTAAAAATGCTGAGAACTTTCAACAGTTCTTTGAGAAACTCCATGATGTATGTAGTCCATAAGAAGAGCAAGAAAAAGTAAATTTCAGAAAGCGACAAAAATTGTAAGTTGTTATGATTTCAAAGCAGATCAATTGGTTTCAGGTGTAATCAATTAAATTTAAGGGAAGTGACAAAAATTGTAAATTGTTAAGAGAGTCAGATGCTTGGTGTTTCCACATAGTCAGCCTGTTTAAACACAATAACAGCGATGTGCTGATAAGCAAAAGAGGAAATAGATTTTCATGTTCTTCTAATGACCTCCTTTCCATATTTAAATCAAGATGCACACCTTTGTTTTTGGAGCTAAACGTGCCATGAGGGCTGCTGCTGCATTGCCAGCATTGTTTTCCTCTATAAAGCTAATTGTTGAGTTTATTATAAGAAGGCAAATAATCCCCGCAAAATCCTGCCAATCAGGACCCTCCCCCTGAAGCAATATTAACAAAAATATGGTTATAAGACAGATAATGCACATCATATATATTTGGCATTGTGCAATAACAAAGAAAAAATATGATGCCCTAAGAAAAAGGAAATATATGAAAAACAATGGCAGGGTTCAATGAACTCACTCCACCATTAGCAAGTGCAATTGCCATTATTGCTGCTGCTTCCATAACCCATGACAAGGGATTCCACATGAAACTGAGAAATTTCAAAAATTTGTTCTCCTGCAAGAGAAAAATAACAAAAGGTCAAGATGGGCCAGTCTGTCAAAAATTGTTTTCAATGTTGTTAACATAAAAAAATCTTATGTTCTGTCCATGTCTATTTCTTTGCTTCAGAGTTCAAACCCTGATGCTTAATGAGTGCAAATAAGATATTATCAAAAATTTGATGCTTTCTTACTGTTTTTTCTTCAAGCTTGTTTTGGCCAAATATCTGCAATCGAACCTCTGCATCTTCGGAGCTAAGTCCTGCTCGTGATGTCTTCAATTGCTCGAAAACTTCGTCTAATGGTAAGCGTTCCTGTTCATCCAGATTGATTTGGCATGTTTGATTATAGTCATATGTAAATTTCAAGATGTTGACATTGCATTTGTGTTTGCTTCATGTCTCACCAGATCAATACCATCCCGGTTGAAATTCTCAGGACCCAACAGTGGCTTGTCCAGTTCTTCAGCCATTTTTCAAGCTTCAGAGCCTGGAATTAAGACAAGACTAAATGTTTCTCAAAAGCATCAAGCAGGCATACGCAAAATAATGTGTCAAATGCAATTTTGTTCTTGTACAGTATTGACACTACACTAAACAATGAATTCCATTTGCGTGACATCTTTCTATATGTGATTCCTAACTACAGAAGAACAAATGCATTCAAATGATATTAAAGGTTATGGGGATAGCATCGTAATTGCAAACATACATTTAAAGGGACTAATGGCTGACAGAAGATAAGAGATGCAAAAAAAATTAACTCTACCGATCGCCACAAACTTTTAAGAAAAGCTCACTAGAGAAAATGCATTGATTTGTTGACCCGAACCACATGAACCTTAGTGTGGTTCAGAACCAAATTTAAAGGCTCAATGGTTTTTGCAACAAACTCATTACCCAGAATGCCCCTTAAAATAATCCAATTCCTCATACCAACTGATCTAATCCAACATTCTGCAGGTGAAAACACCAATCCTTGTGACAGTTCCTTCTCATCCATTATGCATATAACTTTGCTTCCTGTTGGGAAAGTGATTACAATTCCAATATCCAAAGATAGTAATTGGAATGCCATATTGTTGGGGTAAGTACTGGACACTAACCACTCGACCACATATTCAACTTGTGACCCATTGCCCTAATTCTACATATATGTAGTTGAGGGTAGCAGCTATCTCTGGGTCTCTTGTGTAAGCTTTTCTAGTTTTGGGATGAACCACGTAAAGTTTTTCATGTCTCACCAATACAGATTAGGTGTTATGGATTACAAGTACACATTTGTATACTAAAGGCAGTTGCATAAATCTATTGCTGAAAATCAAATGCACACACACTCACCAATCCTAAATATGAAAAAATGAAGAATTCACCTATTATATCAAAGAATTCAACAATCAGACATCACCATTCATCCTGAGATCAGCACATTTTTACCAGCAAAACCCCTTTTCTCATCCCAAAGCAATCTCAAGTCTAAATGTGAATTTAAGTTAAGGTACCTCGAAAACAACATACAAAACCAGAAAATACACTATATGTATGTGTGTATATACACACAAACATATATATGAGTTATTTCACTTTTATCCCTTAAACTATTTCCATATTTTTTTATATTTCATGTCTAAAGTATCAATTTTTTAGTCCATAAGCTTCTGATTTTAGTTTATATAGTCCAATTGGAGATGCTCGTCCCAATTAGTAATGCTAGAAGCCTAACTTAGTGGGCAAAAATATAATTTTAAATCATATAACTAAACACCCATCTTCTTACTCACACTATATTATTAGACAACTTACACCCTACAACCGAACATCCATCTTCTTATTCACCCCTCCCTCCCTCATCCTCTCCCTTTCCGTGCCCTCACTTAAGGGTGATTTTATTTGCACACCACCCTTTGTCTCAATACACACCATTTGTGCCATTTGGATATCAACTTCCGAACAAAATACAAATGTTCGGATATCTACTTCTTAACATAATACAAATGTTTGGATATCAACTATTGAACGGGATTTTCATTCAAACAATTGATTTTTGTTTAGAAGTTGATATTTGAACATTTTGTTTGGTTCAGAAGTTGATATCCAGAAGACACAAATGGTGTGTATTGATATAAAAGTATGGTGTGTGAATACAATTACCCCTCACTTAAATTGTTCATATTCAAAAATGACATTTTTACCCATCAAATTAGACTTCAAACAGTTACTGATTTGAACAATCGTCAAAAAAGCTGAAATAATAAAAAAAAAAACTTTAAAAACTAAATAGACGAAATTCATAGTTTAGTGAAAAAAAGAAAAACAACAATAGTTCAAGTATAAAAAGTGAAATTAACCCTATACATATATCAATGATATGTACATATCATTGATTCAGTTACTTACTTGAGTGAGAAGGGTTTCCAAAAATGCAGGAAGGCTAGTGAGTGGAGGGAGTGGAGTGACCCAATTTCATGTGGATTTTTAGGGTTTACAAAACAGAGTATTAAAAGAAGAAGAGCAAAGGGTGAGGAGTTGGAGCTATAAAAGGGAGTAGAATATGAATTGGTAGTTGACCACTGGAAATGGTACTGGTAGGTGATTCGTAGCGAACTAATAGTCCAGATTGCGATTGAGATCTCAAGATTTTGTGTCCCATTTTCGATATACAGAGACGGTCGGGATTGAAGACCACGAAGAAAATGAAGAAGACGAGTAGTTGTGTAACTCTCTTTCAAAACTAAACCTTCAAACCTAACGGTCCACTATCTGCGATCGCGACACGTGAGAGGAGCAGTTAGGGATCAGACGGTGGGGAAGTATTTTATTTTTTATAAATGAGTACACGTTATTTTGGAATCCAACCAATTTATTAGACAGATTGAAGAGGATTGGACATTCCCTCCTCCCCTCTAGCCTTCATGTTTTTCTCGTTATTTTTTAGCTCATTTATGCGGACTTGAAAAATATTACTACTCTTTAAATTATTAAAAAAATATTACTTTACTTTATAAATTATAAAAATATATAAATAGATCCTTAAATTATAAAAACATATAAATTGAACCTCTTAATGGATTGGTCAAAATGAAATACGCCAATAATTTAGGAGTCTATTTGTATATTTTTATAGTTAGGGAATAAAATAATATTTCTCAACAGTTTAGAAAGTTTATTTGTATGTTTTTATAATTTAGAAGTCAAAATAATATTTTTTAATAATTTAAGAGATTTTCGTGTAAGAATGCTGATTGTTTTTATATGAAAGGAAAGAGTTTCAATTTTTTTAATAGAAAATGGCATTTTTCATATTTTGATTGGTTTTATTTTTAGATTAATTACACTATCATCTCATCTTCCTCAATTATTTTTTTACTTTGTCATTCATAAATGTAGGTATTTTGATTGGTTTCAATTTTTTATTTATTTATTTTTTTATGTATTATAAAAATACATAAAAAATTATATACCTTTCTGTCCTACAATGCGGTGTAATTGGATTTCTTCTGTTCAAAAAAATTATAAAAATGCATCAATTTTATTTAGTAGACAAGCCTAATATTTGGGTGAAGGCGGAAAAACTTATTATCCACTCCTTAAAATAAATGTACAATTGAATTTTCAAAAATAATTGTATAATTAGTAGCTTAAAAGGATATGTCATTTTTTCTTCTTCTTCTTCGAATCTATCTTCACAGGAAAAAAAATAAAAATGTAATACATAAAAATGTAAGAACTGGACTAAAGTCTGGTCCCAAATTTGTCGCATAGTGGAAATTGAATAAATATATTATAAGATTTATCTATAAAATGAATTTAGACCCACATGTTAATATTTTGAATAATTTTTTAATTTATTATACTGCTGATTAAATGTATGAAGATATAGGTGTTCTGGATTGACCAGCTAAGATAAACAAGGGGCAGATCTAACTAGCTAGTTAGCTGGGTACCAACTCAATAACAACAACAACAACAACAACATACACATGGTCAAATTTGCCAATCTGATAGAATCTTATATGCTTTTTAAATACACACTCATTCAATGTGAAGGTGTCATTGCATTTCCACTAAAGATATTCCCTTCTATTATCTGTCTCTCACAACAGAAATTAAAAGGCACATATATACACATAGCAAGCAAGCATGTAATCATTGAGTTGATGACTCAATAACCATATGCAGATAATGTGGAGTTTTTAATGAAGTAGGGGCAAGGGCCAAACTTGCGCCCTCACAACTTAGAGCAACTCAAATTCAATTAGTAAAATTTTAGATATTATTATTTTAAATTTAATTAGGACTTGGATTAAGATATACAAAGCTTATCCGTTCTAACAAGGGTTCTCACAATTTGAGAAGCTCGATCGATCCAAATCCTACTGTTAATATATATATATATATATTAGTGATTCGGGGCATGTGTGTTGCATGTGACATGTAATTTTTCATCAACTATCACTACAAGAATTAACACTTTTGCCGACCAAAAAATTGGTCGCTAAAAGTCTATTTTTAGTCGGCAAAAGTTATTCGCGACTGATTTTTTTAGTCGCTACTTTGGTCGCCAATTGAGGGTCGGCAAAAGTAATTCACGACCAAAATTTTGGTTAGTCGGCAACAGTTGGATTTGCCGACTAAATTTTTGGTCGCTAAATTGGTTTGTAATATGTATACAAAGTAATATGTATATTAGTACTGTAATTATGCGTGTCTCTTAAATTGGTATGTAATATGTATACAAAGTATAGAGATTTGTATAAGTAAATTGATTTGTATCCAAAATACAATTAAGTAAGAAATTAATACATATTCGGATGAAGAATTTAAGTAATAAATGAGAAATTTTATAAACATAAATATTAATTTATAATTAGATTGTTGATATCACAATTTTATCTTAAACAATAAATAATAAACAAGTCCTTCAAATATATAGTATTAAATATAGGAAAAATTAGTCTAGGGTCCCTCTCCCACTTTTCGTAATGGAAGAGATTCACAAAATTATTTTTTGATGTCTAAGGTCCCTAAACATGTATTAGAGAAATTTGAGTCTTTGTCTCTCCTCCTCTGCTGTAGAGCAGCACTTCCTCTCTCTCTCTCTCCGAAACCCTTGAGAGAAGAGATGGCAAAGCAGCACTCTCTCTCTCTCTCTCTCTCTCTCTCTCTCTCTCTCTTCTGTATTCCTTCTCTCTCTTCCTCATCTCTTTCTCTATCTATCTGTTGATTTCACAAGCCTATTTTTTTTTCTTCTCTCCCAGATCCTCAACAAAATACCAAATCAAACACCAAAAATATACAGTCAATCGATCTGTGTGTGTTTGAGATTACCATTACACTATAGCACTCACTCTCAAATCTGATGAGTGAGTGATATATATACATATATATATAGAGAGAGAGAGAGGGAATACAGAGAAGAGAGAGAGAGAGAAGCGATGATGGCAACCAGAGCTGCTGGAGGAGACGGCGAATGCAAAGTTGCGGGAGATTTTGTTGTAGATGAAGATCTGGTGCAGATTTGGTGCAACTGAGACGACAACGATTCACGACGACGGTTGAGCTTCGCCGATCTGACTTTGTCCCCTTGCTGCGCCAACGACCCTGGTGGAGCATTTGTTGTTGGGCTCAATCCACACCACGGCGTATGGTTTCAGTCTCCCGTAACGCCAGTTCACGTTCTTCAGATCCTTCTCCAACATCACGTTCACCTCCATTTCGTAACAGCAAGCCATTGGAAAGAAGGGATCATTGATTGATCCGGATAAGCTGATGATTTAAATGGGGCAATGAGGTTTTAAGAAAGAGGATCAAACCCAGTGAAATTTAATGAGACAAGTCAGTGAAATTTCAAAAAAACAAACTCAGAAAAATTTGTTTAACATATATATATATATATATATATATGTTGTTATTTGTTGCTTATTCACTCAAGGAAATGATTTTCTCTCTCTGCCTTGAACTGAAATATCTCTGGATTGGTGAAGATAAATTTTCTTGTTTGAACTGAAATTTCCCTTGATTGGTCCAGAGAAATTCTCGGGTTTAAACTAAATTTTCTTTGGATTGATCCAAAGAAATTCTATGGTTTGAACTGAAATTTCTTTGGATCTGGGTTGATCCAGAGAAATTCTCTGGTTTGGATTGAACTAGTCCTCAATGTTGTTCAGAGAAATTTGGCAACCTCTTCTTTTCCAACTTTCTCTGGATTTCCAGCAAGAGCAAAGGTTGCTTGAAGAAAGAGTTGCTACGTTGTCTGGAGAAATTTTCAAAATTTCTCTGGACCAATTTTCTTTGTGACGTGAATTTTCTCTGGAGTAATTTTCTCTGGACTAATTTTCTCTGGACCAATTTTCTCTGGACCAACTTGAGAGACCTTAGACATTATGAAAATATTAGATGTCCTTTATGCTATAAAATCTTAATACGAAGGACCTTAAAAAAAACCCCTTAAATATATATATATATATATATATATTATCAATTTTTCACTTCAATTTTTCATAATCCGTACTTGTGATACGATTGAATGTCTAAAATTAACGGCACAATTATACAATTTTGTTTAATAGTTCATCTCATAATATAAATTCATTGAACCCACTATTGTATATTATTTACATACTATTGGTGTAAGAATGCATTAATATCAATATGTAATATATTTTTATACATCAAGAGTTGTTGAGTTTCATTTTCTGTGTCACGAATATCTTGCATGATAAAAAATATAATATTAGTCATTAGTATACAATTGTTATACAATTGTTGCGAAAAAAATAAATAAATAAGTACAATTATTGTCGTGATGTAAGTGTTTTGTAAAGTCTTAATTTGATATTGAAAGTGTTTGTTGTAAACACTTGTTTGTATGACATGTATGTATATATGTATTGAACATAAGCTGACAGGAAAACAATACACAATTCCGAAGTTTTTTCCTAGTAAATATAACTACATTACTAAAACGATACATGTTAGAAAATTAAAGTATCCGATGGTAATATAGAATTATAGATTGACAATGTATGAATACAGTAACATATATAAATTTACATTTATATATTTTTATGTATGTATATATATATAAGATATCACAAAAGTAATATGTGAAATCTTTTGCAACAATATAATAAAGGCAACAATGAGAAGTTAATTATTCATAATTAAATAGTTAGTAATAATGTATATATATAAGATATCACAAAAGTAATATGTGAAATCTTTTGCAACAATATAATATAGGCAACAATGAGAAGTTAAATATTCATAATTAAATAGTTAGTAATAATGTAGATGTTTGGTGTTACATTTTTGTGTGTATGTACTATTTTTTAATTAGATTATTAAATTCACATAAAAATTGAAAGAAATTTATAAATAATTTGTGTACAATTTAAAAAAATAGAAGTTTATAGTGTTTGGTTTGGTTTGTTTTTTTAAAATTTTGTTTTGAATATTTTTATTTTTATGTATTTTTGTCTTTCATACTGTTTTTTTTAATAACTCTTTTATTTTCTTTTTAGATTCACTTAATTTACTATTTTTTTAAAAAAAAATTATTGTTAGATTTAGATTTACTTAATCTAAATACACTTAGAAA